GCGTAAGTATTATATATAATTATATTATATATAATATATTATATGTATATATAAACGCTCGATTATAAACAGTACATTTGTCTGTACTAGTTAGAAAACGCATATGTTACTTGTGACACAAGAACGTGCATCTTAGGGTATCTGAAACCATGTGAACGTGGCATATATGCACGATTAAAAACATAAGTATCGTGTGTAAAATAATCTGACCATGCTCGGCTACTTACATGATTGCGTTTCAACTAGAATTAATAGATCTTCATAACATCCTTAATTGCGACGGAAACGAAACATGTCTATAGTATCGCTCATCAGGGTCTATGTCCCCAGCGGCCTCACGGGGTACCGCCGAAGCGTTACCCTGGGTACGCGTCCAGTACAGTCGCCGAGCACGTACCCCTTGGTCACTTATTTTTGATATGTTAGGGTTAGGGTTACGATTATTGGGCTTAGGGTTCGGTATCCGGGTTAGGGAGTAGGCCGTAGGGCGACTTCGCCTAGACTCCGTTACGTGGAGTAGGGCGAGGTACGGTCGGCATATATAGATAGCTTTACCAGGGTACGGTTCCGGTTTTACCGGACCGTACCCAGCGGTACGTTCCGGCAGTTACCCCGGGGGACACTTAGACCTCTCAGCTATAGTATCAACCACATCAGTATTAGCAAGTGTATCGTATAATTGTTCGGATAATCGGATAATTGTTCTAATATTTGCATTCTATCGACTCGCCTATGCTGCGTGATAGCGGGACCAGAGTAACGTACACCCGGCGCGCTCTCTTTCTCCGCCTCATTGTTCTGCCTGGGCTGGCTCTATCTCTCTCTCTCTCTCCTTGCTCTCTCTCCTCTTGCTCTCTCTCTCTCGCTCTCTCTCTCTCCTCTCTTCTCTGTCTCTTCTCGCATCTATCTCTCTCTCTCCGCTCTCTCTCTCCTCGCTCTCTCTCTCGCTCTCTCTCTCGCGGCTCTCTCTCGCTTCTCTGCTGCGCGCGCCTCTCTCGTCTCTGCGTTCTCGTCTCTCGTGTCTGCTCTAGTCTCTCTCGGCTGGCGTGCCGGCTCTCTCTTTCTCTCTGCGCTCGTGCTCCTCTGCTATCGGGGCTGGGCTCTCTCGCTCTCTCTCTCTCGTCGTCTTCTTCGTCCGCTGCGGCGCTCTCGTCTCCGTCTCTCTCTCTGCTCTCTCTGCCTTTCGTCGTCGTCTCTCTCTCTCTCGTCTTCGTCTCTCTCGTCTGGCTGCGTCTCGGTCGCGCGCTCTCTCTCTCTCTCTCTCTCTGCTCTTCTCTTTCGCTCTCTCTCTCTCCTCTCTCTCTCTCTCTCTCTCATCTGCTTCTATCTATTCTATCTCTCTCTTTCTCTCTCTCTCTCTCGTCTCTGCTCTCTCTCTCATCTCTCTCTCTCTTTCTCTCTCTCTCCTCTCTCTCTACTCTCTGCTCCTCTCTCTCTCTCCCTCTCTCTCTCTTAGCTGTCCACTCTTTTTGTCTGTCACTTTCTCGGTGTGTATCTCTTCACTGTTCACACAGCTGCTTTCTCTCTTTCTTCGTCTCACCCCTCTCTCTCATCTCTTTCCCATCTCTCTCTTCTCTCTCTCTCTCATTTCTCTCTCTCTCCATGTCTCTCTCTCATCCATCTCTTCTCTCTCTCTCTCTCTCTCTCTCTCTCGTCTCTCTCTCTCTCTCTCTCTCGCTCTCTCATCTCTCTCCTCACACCACACCACGGCGCATGCAACAAGTGGAGGCTTGGAGAACGATGTAAGCTTTCAGTCGACGGCGCGCAAACTACATGCGGTTACCAATGAGGCATTTCTCGAAAAGGATTGAGCCGTACCGGCAGACCAACCTCTATTCAATCGTTTGGACATCAGAGCACGCGACATGGCTCCAGTGCTTCCCGCTTCCTTTTGCTGGTCCGCTGTGCTTTGTTTCGACAATGGGTGGATGGGTGTGCTGGGGGCATCTGTGTGTATATACTCCCCCCGTAAGGTCCTGTGTAATCGTTCCCCCTCCCCCCGTACTATGATCACTGATCGCTATATTGCTCCGTGTTTCGATCAGGATCGTTTGCGACTTTAAAAACCGAAACTCGACTTTTTGCCCGCTTGACTATAGGTGAGAGTTGTTGGCTAGAATGGGCTTCCATTCCATTCCCTCGCTTTCACATAGTTTTCTTCCACCCTTCCCCACGCTCAAATAGCTACCACCCACCCCACCTCACGTTCGCATGGTTTGGTCACCAACCTCCACGCTTTCATGAGCTTCCACCCACCCCCACGCTTACATGCAAATCCGCCTACCCGTCCCCACGGCATTCGCATGGCTTCCACCCACCCCCACGCTTAAATAGAATCCGCTTACCCCTCCCCACGATCGCATTCGTTCCACCTACCCCTCCCACGGTTCGCAATTGGTTCTAACGCACTCCCTCCCACGCTCGCATGGCTTCCACCCACCCCACGCGCTTAAATAGAATTCCCGCTACTCCCTGCCCACGAGTGC